GAACCCAAAATAATACACTGGCTATACACGGCGGTGGTTAGGCCAATTCTCTATCACGGTATAGTGGTATGGTGGAACGCCCTTGGGAAAGGGGTAAACTTCAAAAAAATGGACAAGGTTCAAAGGCTTGCGTCCACACTCATAACTGGTGCGATGAGAACAACACCATCCAAGGCACTGTATGCCCTACTGAATTTTCTTCCGGTGGACCTACATGCCAAACAAGTCGCAAGTGGCGCGGCAATTCGAATGAATACTCTAAATAAGTGGTCAAATACCAGTTATGGTCACGGTAGAATATTAACGGAAGTTCCGGGGCTACCCGGATTGGTGGACTATGCACTTCCGGAACCTGCACCCGCTACAGCGTTCGCGACCCTCCTACCCTCAAGGGAAGAGTGGAAGCATGACGCTGTAAGTAGTGGAGAGTCCATCCATGTATACACAGATGGCTCAAAGCTCGAGGGTAGGGTTGGAGGAGGTGTATATTCCCATCACCTGGGAATCTCCCTCAGCTTTCGTCTCCCGGACCACTGTAGCGTTTTTCAGGCTGAACTGATGGCAATCGACAGGGCCACGAAACTGGTAAAGTGTGATATGATACCCCAAGTTGATATCTACATCTTCACTGACAGCCAGGCGGCAATAAAGTCCCTCACGAAGCAGTCGACAACCTCCATGGTAGCCATGAAATGCCGCGCATCTCTTAACGAGATGGCTGAGTCATTTCGCCCAAAGGTAATATGGGTTCCGGGACACTGCGGCATAGAGGGGAATTGTAAGGCCGACGAACTGGCGCGACTTGGCACGAAACTTCCTTTTGAGGATATAAATGACGAAATAGGAATACCCTTGCAAACCTGTAAGCTACTTATCTCCGAGAGGCTCACTAAAGTAGCGAACGAAAGGTGGCAGGACGAAATCACCTGCAAAACTGCCAAACAATTATGGCCGGTGCTCAGCGCCAACCGCACTGGCCTACTACTGAGTCTAAATAAGTCCAATATTAGATTATTAGTATCCGTCATAACAGGACACTGCCTAATTGGCAAGCACGCCGATCGACTCGGCCTACGCTCACATGACTTCTGTAGAAGCTGTCAAGATGAAGAAGAGGAGGAAACGATTCTCCACCTGTTGTGCCAATGCCCTGCTCTATCTAGACGAAGACTCTCCACTCTCGGTAGGCAATTCTTCGACAACTTGGAGGACCTTAGATGCGTCGAAATCAGGGATCTTCTAAAATTCGTTCAAAGTTCAAAATGGTTTTAGGAGGGACCGGGAGTTGCTGACCCAACATGCGGCATCACAATGGGCCCTGAGCCTAAGTGTGTCTTATAGACGACCGCGACAACCTACCTACCTACCTACCTATCCAGGGGTTTGAGTTAAATCGAAACAACGAAAACGGTTATCATTTTATACATAAATATATGTACATATATATATACATAAATTACTTGTTTTATTATTATTTTATTCGTTATTCGAATAATTAATGAAGATAATAATTATTCGAATAACGAATAAAATAATTTATCCGTCATTCGAATAATTTTTTTTTGAATAAACAAAATTATTTATTATTTACGAATAACAAGAAAAACAATTTATTCATTTGTTATTCGTCATTCGAATAAATTTTGCCCAACTCTGGTACATACACTGTCTGCATTTATACTATGTATCTGCATACCCCTAATATTTGCAATGGTTTGTAATCTAACATTTTTATTATTTCTTAACAAAAATAAGGTTCATGCTGGAAATAGAATCATATGAATCAAAGTTTCAAACTTTATACAAAACTAAATAGTATTTGTGTGTTGTTGCTCCCTCCCACAACTCTTATGGCTTCATTCGTAAAAAATTAAATATGTAGATTAGAAGAGCCTTATGAAGTGAGATTGTCAACCAAATTTTCGATTTATGAAACATACTTTATTTTTTATGAATAAGGGTGTTAGTTAATAAATTTTCGAAGGTATTTAATCCTGGAAATTTAATTTATAATCTTCTACCTCGATTCTACATATCGTGCACTTCGTGGGATTAGTACACCATCCAGAACTTATCTTGTCTTATAACTTTATCTGAATAACACATTTCAAATAAGTGGCAACCCGCTATAAAAATATTTTCAGAAGTAAAATTTCCCTCAGTTTATCTTATCAAATAAATCAAATTTTAATATTCAAACAGGTGGCAACCGTCCACTAAAATATTTTCAGCTGTAAGCCTTTTAAAACTCTTTGTTTTGACAGCCATATTGCTGTATTTACTTTATCTTATCAATTTATTTACACTGGAATTTTCAAACAGGTGGCAATTATCTAAATATTTCTTTCTTATATTTTAAGTTAGACTTTTAGAAATACTTCGGTGAAAACTTCATTCGATCTCATGCATTAGTTTTCAATTGATGCGCGGACAAACGTACAGACAGGCAGAAAAACGAACAGAATGATAGACCAAAATTTTTAAAATTGTTCATTTGGCTTCTATTGCTCTAATAAGGACCCCCGTTACAATTTTATTATATGTGAAGATAAGGGAAGTTCATCGAAATTTTATCAACATTTTTAATTTTAATCAAAACTAAAAGAAAAAATATTTGCAAATTTGAAGTGCCTAAGAGTTCGCGTTAATTTTTAATTATTTTTTTCCTGATGGTTCTACGTATTTTCTTCGGATTTGAATACTTTCAGAGCTGGAGCGTCGAAATCCACGACATCGATAAGACAGCGGAGCCGCTGCATCTTAATTCGCTGAACTATTTCCATGTCGTTGTAAAGCTCATAGGCTCATCATGCCATGCATAACGGGTGACAGGTAACAAGATCAACGGAAGTAACGTAAATTGGCACTATTTCGCATAGTGATGCGAAATAAAATGAATTGACGTTATTACCTTTTCAAAAGAGAAATAAAATCAACAAAAATTTGGAAATAAAGTAAGTATTTCCTAATTCAAATGGAAACTAAGCAAATTTAATGTTTGAAAGAGCTATAATGTCGGCGGATTTTATTTCGCTTTTGAAAAGGTAACAATGTCAATTGATTTTATTTCGCATCAGTATGCGTAATAGTGTCAATTGACCTTCTTTCCGTAGATCTTGTTACCTTGTTCTCGTTGACCAACAGACCTAATCGCTTTGCTTGGAACAAACTTCGCGGTTTCTGATAACGATGATTTCGATGCCATCGGCGTACGTCAGTAATTGTACACTTTTGTAAAAAAATCTTCCTGAGTTGTTCAGTTCTGCAGCTCTTATTATCTTCTCCAACATCGGATTAAAGATATCACATGAAAGGGAGTCGCTCTGTCTGAAACCCCTTTTGGTTGCAAACGGCTCGGAGAGGTCCTTCTCAATTCTGACGGAGCTGGCGATACTGCTCAATAGCATTTAACACAGCCATATCTGTTTCGCGAGAATGCAGACATCGCGTCGTTTAGGCCACTCCTTTTAGTGCTGTCGAAAGCGGCGTTGAGGTCGACAAATAGACTCACCGTCTATCTTTTCCTCGCGGATATTTTCCAAGATTTATCGTATTGTGAAAACCTGGTCTATGGTGGATTTGCCAGGTCGAAAGCCACACTGCCAAGGCCCAATCAGTTCGTTGACGGTGGGCTTCAGGCTTTCACACAATACGCTCCATAAGATACGATTTATCCCGCTTTAGTTGGCGCGCATGGCGGGCTCGCCTTTCTTGTGAATTGGACAGAGCACATCAGATTGGAACATCGACTCCATCAACATCAACTGTGGGATCGGGGTCGTTTCTCCACAAATTTCCGTGCGTCTTCCATTCAGTAGGGTAGAAAAGTGTTCCCTCTATAATTTTAGTCCGTTCTAGGCATTGGTTACTAGGTCACTATTGTTGTTTTTACAGGATCTCGCCTGGCCTTGAAACCTTCCATAATCCGATAACCCTCTGATAAAGTTTCAGGCGTCTTTTCTCTCACAAGGCATTTCAAGCTATTCGCACTCACGTATTTCAGCCCCTCTAAATACGTCTCGCTTCCCTCTACAGTTCCCTAAAGCGGTCCCATATTGCTCGCGTTGTGCCCCACGAGGAATCAGAGTGACTTTAGTTTATACATATTAACAATGCCTTGGTTGATATTTTCAACATGAATTTGGTAATATTAAACACATTTCTGTTTACATTAAAAAAATTTCTGGTTGACGATTTTTTCGTTTGAATACGCTTATGTTCTGCACTTCACATATGCTATTTCATGTTTCTAAGAAACAAAACAAAATTTTTTATTAACGTTGCCTCTGACAGGATTTGAACTGAAAGTTAGCAAATAACATTCATCTACAACCGCTTTAGAAATGTATCAACTTGAATAAATTTTCATCGCCGTTTAATTTGGTGCTGCTTATGCTTATTCGTGATTAAAAAAAATCAAAAACAGAAAAAAATAATACAAATTATATGTTGCCGCTGACGGCATTCGAACCCGAACCTGCTGGAAGCTAACCTTTAACAACAAGCACCACTGCACGTTCAGCTACAGCTTGCGAATTTTCCATAGTGTAGAGATTTCTCTCTGCAACACCACCCTACCAAGGGTTGCCTCTGTTGATTTACACTACACTGCCCTCTAATATTTTCTCGTAGATTGCTAAAACTGTACGTAAAACTTGGATAATTTTTGAAATACTCTACGATTGTGTCTAGGTTTCATAAACCAACTGATAGCGCCTTGTACAGAAAGGCCTATGTGGACTTGGTATACATACATATGTAACCGGCGGAACTTCGCAAGTGAAAGTGACTATTGCAAAAAAAAATTATCAAGTAAAAAAATTGACTGTTGATATTGTGTTCCATATTACCATAAGGGGATTTCCTTACACTTGGGAAATGGAAAACTTGAAAATATTACATACTGAAAAAGTTCAGAAATAACCGGAATTCAAACAAATTACATTTTCAAGTATATTTAAAGCAAAACTTATGTACCAAAGTACAAATGCAACACTTACCCATACACGGCTTTCACATACTCAGAATCACTGTTGTCTTGCGCATGTATGCTGCGACCCATAGCCGTTTCTAAAGCAAATTTTTAAATTTAAATTATATGAAAATCTAAGTTTAAGTATGTATATCAAGTTCAGAGCGCGATGGTGCCTAGATATCTACATTCTGCACACCGCAACAATGAGCCATCATCCACCTACCACACACAATGTCCAGCGTACAAAGTGTCACATATGGAAAAATGTTGAAGACCTCAGCGCCCACTTCGCGCTCCAGTTTGCGTGCCAATATAGCGCTCTCCTCATTGAACACATCAATAAAATCATCCAAGATTTTGAAATGGAAGGCAGGAGTCAAAATCTATTTTGAGAGATTATCAAAAACTTAAATGCCACAAGTGAATTTTGTGTAGTAATGGTTTTGTTATTGAAGCGACTTTGAACTTGGTGAATGTTCATAGATGTACATCACAGATGTTTGCTTAAATGCGCGAACATTTATGACATACTTTTTTTGGTGCATGAGTTTAGTTACATATACATATATACATAAATATGTAGGCTCTTAAGTGTATACGTACGTGCAATTTCACATCTCTACATATTTTTTTAAACTCATACACACCTACATACATATGTACATATCCATATGCTAATTCCACCACATTAAACTTTATTTACAAATTTGCATCACCCATATGCACATATGTAGGTATGTATTTCTTCGCTTACCTTTCTTCTCGAATGCCATTTCCGGCCAAAACTGGTTAGCAATCCGGTGCCTAGCCATGGGCGCAAATAATCGTAATCATGACTTTTATCTATGAACTTTTGGCTATTCAAGATTGGCTGTAATTAGAGATTGTAATACATTTTTTATTACCGCAACGTATTAATCAAACAACATGGTGCCTCTGGAGTGAAACGGAGTTCCCACGTTGCTTACGGGAACGCGTGAATTTTATAAAACACCCGTGATATATGCCCTGGTTTACTATTATTGCATCGGTTAATTTACTATTTGTACATTCGCTTAACCTGTATGTCGGCTAAAATGTTTTTTTTTTCTTAACTTTATTAAAATAAAGTTAAGCTTTGGTTTTGAAAACTACACATTCAACTCAGTTTTAAAATCTGGCTATAATTTTTTATTGATAAGATATTACTAGGTGAGCCACTCGAGCGTTGTGAAAATCTTTCTAATTTTGAAGATTAGATAGATGATAGAAAGATATGATAAAAACTCTTCCGCAGCACAGTGCAGTAAGTGAACGTTTTTGTGGCAAAATCAAACATTTCGCGAGCGAGAACAGACATCGAATTAAATGTAACGGTATTTAAAAGAATTTAAGATGGAGAATTGAGAAAAAGTAAACTCGTTGGATAAAAAAAAAACTACCTCGACCTTTCAAATGACCTTGAAATATAGGCGGTTTTAATTTTTACCATTTTTGAACTGAAGATAATATGGAATGAAATGTTAGAAAAGTGCTCGACGGTGCAGTGTGAAAGACCGAAGCTCTTCACATAAGAAAACCGACATAAGCGCAGCACCTTTTCTTTCATTTTAAAGCTACGTTTGATAGTAAAACGAGAAGCTCCCGCAAAACTAATATGGCTACGTAGAGTAACGTTGAGCACAACCTTCAGCTCCAACCGAATTGAGCTACTGCTACGATTTCGTCTAGATAAGCGAATTAGAGAATACCATATAACATAAAAAAATTAACTCAATGCTTATGGAAGAAATGGGGAAAATTGGGATCTTTTGTTACGACAAAATTGGCGGACAAATAATAAAGTCAAAAAAGAGACAAACGAAATACTAACAAAAGATATTTTTCCTTTGTTCTTGTTTTTGTAGTACCTATTTTCTTTTAATCAATTTTTTACTTACCATTGACAAGTATTTATACGCTATATTGTATAATTTTGGCAAATGGCCTATATTTCTAGAGAGCTTTTATTAAACCGACTTATAAAACTTAACATATAAATAGGTACATAGCTCAATGGAAAGGCTTACTTCAGTCTTCTTTGTTGTTCTATTTCGGTGAACAAGCTTATGGCGATCACTCCAATCGATACATCGGAATTTATTCGATGCATCGTATTACAACAATTTCAATACATCTGACTCGCTTTTTATAATTAAAAATACTTAACTTAAAATTTTAAATAAATTATTTTACACTAAGCTAATTTATTTTTTCAAAGGTAGCCGAAAATTTGCATCTGTTACTGTGAAGTTAACTTCCGCGTAATTTCTTTCTGACATTATATATATGAACACACAGCCTAAACTAAGCTAGCCCTACCTGCTGTAATACAATTTTATTTTTTACCATATTTTGTTAGCCATTTTCTTTTCCGCCTTTTATTTGTCTTACCTCCACCGTTTCTGGACTGAACAGCATTACATATGGGCTGGGGCCTTGCCATGCTTTATTCAAGCCAATGCGATTGCCCCACAACTTTATTGTGCCCGTAACTCGGTTGAATAATTCTGCAATGAAAAACAGAAAGAAAGTATTTAAAAATTGCATACGCATATGTGTGTATGTGTGTACGTTACGGTGGACCAAAACAAAGTAAAGTCGGGGTAGTAGTGCTCTTACCCCCTGGTTTTGTTCTATACCGAAACAAATTATACCCCAGGGTTTTATTTTGAAAATAAAAAAGTATTTATAGGGGCGGAGAGCATTAAAATTCCGACTTTACTTTTTCACATGAATTTTTGGACCACTCTAATGTATGTAAATATGTAAGAGCAATGGAACATTATAAATATGATTGTAAATACGGTTGTTAAATATCATAACAAGAGGCTCTAAGTAACATCTTTCGGAGAAAGTATTCATTCATCTAATTAGCTTTCAGTTATACCTGTACAACACATATAAAAGGATAATAATGTGTGTGTGTTCACACCTGTCCGGTTTTCGGGCTATCTGATTATGTGGTTATATTTTTTTATATTAATAATTACGAGTATTAACCAAGTGACCTTATAATCAGGAATGTGTGAATACTTATAAGATTTTTAAGGGTAAACCCGCCAAAGCATTTCATATACACACACAAGTACATACGAGTAAATAAATCCGACCTTTTTTTTTGCAAGGGGCTTTTAGAATGCTGTCGACTACACATATTACTATGTATGTATTTGTCAAAGTCTTCTCTTAATTTAAGTAAATATTTTAAATTTATTGCGGTTGCTTCTTGACACAAGCCGAGCTTTTCAATTACATATTGTAAAATAATAAAAATCTTTTTACGTCAATGATCTGTTGCACTCTACGAGTTCATTACTTTTTTTAAACAACATTGTTATATTTTTATTTAATTGCGTCCCGCTAAATTACTTTCTTGCATTCTCTCAGACTTTTATTACTCACAATAATTGAGCACAAAAATCTGTAAATATTTGCAAGCAATAAATATTATTCACCCCATAAACAGAATAAGCAAATGCTAGATACACGTATCAGAAATTGAATGTAGAGGTAATCGAAAGTGATAGAATTTTTCTTTTGAATGCATAAGTGAAGGCAATGATGGCATTTTTCGAGAAATTTTGTACTGACTCATGATTTAACAAAAACAAAGGGATCATAAATGTCAGAGCATACATTATACCCGGATACCCATGGTGGCTGGATGGTTGAAGTGACGAGTACATATAAAAACTGCAAAGAGACAACAGAGGATAATTATTTCTCGTAAATCCTGCCCGTGGGGTTTAAAAACATAAAAAGTTTCAGCTTCCCTTATTTCTGTTAAACAGCAAAATAAAGGTTTGCCTAGATTAGTAAAAGAAAGTTGGGCAGGAAAGGGTTTCATCTGTATCTGATAATTTATAGATACAGTTACAAGCAGCATTGTATTCCAGTTCTAATCTTGTTGCATGAGCACGCATGAGCACGCACGACCGAGAATCCTGTGATTGAAGTTCGATTTGTGCTGTAGGTGGGCCACAGACTCGTACAGTCGCTAAAAGATTGAAGGGGTTTCCTTCTGCGGTTACCTAAATTTTAGCAGTGCGGGCCTTAGTATACTTCAGAGGTATAAGGACCTCTTCTGCCACTGAGATATTCAGAGCCGATCCGTTTCTGGCTAGCTGTGCCTCGGTAAACAGATCAGTGCAAAGATATACCTTTCAGCTAAGGCTGTAACGGACTCTCTGTATTGCTTTATTATGCTGGAGTTGATTCTTCGTTCTAGCACTTAACCTATTTTATTTAAAACATTCTATATTTAAGGTCAATGAAGAATTTTTTTTATTTCTACATCTGACAAGCTTAAAAACGCCGTTACGTTTACATCTCCATCCCTTCTCGTTTTCCAGATACCTGGGTTTGTCCCTTTGTTCCAAAATTTACCACTGTGCACCGTTTGAGACCAAACGTGGTTTTAAACGAGGCGCCTCGTCCGACATTTTCGTAGTAAGACCTGCCCATATAAATTTCAGCGACACACTATACACCAAAAAAAGATGATATCGATATCGTCGTCACGTCACGTTACAGTTCAACCTAATATTACCGGCGTGCGTTTTTTTACCTACTCACGCAAGTTTTTCACATTTAATTAACCGAAATCAATTTGCGTGCGTGATTTCTCAGTTTTGCATTTCTTTCAGATTTACAGAAGTTTGTTGAGAAAAATTTGAATCCATAGTCGCGCCAAAATTTCAATTGAGAATAAACGTCAAAACGAAATATCACGCAAAACAAATCTTGAAATTTGAGTTAGCTTTTTGCCCACGCCGTTCAATTTTTGTTAGTTCCATACAAGTTGAATGTGTATGACATATTTTTGACGTTAAACTGTCGGCGTGCGTCAATATTAGGTTGGCCTGTTAATCCGGAAATCAAGCCAAGAATAACTCTTTTCAACAAGTGCTACTTTGGGCTCGGTTGGTAATTGAAAAGCAGATTCCTTTTTCGAAGAACAAAAGTCACGTTATACTAGTCTTTCATCATGCCCATTCTTTTATATCGAGGGCTTATATTCAATACCCTCTATATGCAATTTTCACAAAAACTATTTTGTGATGTTAGAACCCATCTGGGACTTACCTGACATCACTGATGTTAAATCTGACTTTGCAGTTTAATAGTAAATTATTCTCGTTATCGTTATACAAGGTCAGCATTGATATCACTGTTGACAGTTATGTCTTAGGTGGATTTTTATATAAGAATTTAGTTTTTGTGAAAAGTGCAGATAGAGGGTATTGAACATAAGCCCCCGATATACCGCGGATACTCAAGATCTACGAACTTGTATGAGCACATAGGTAAGCGCATACAAATTAGGAGTATTAATCTCGGGATTCCCGGAATCCCGGGATTCTTGGCAAATAAACCCGGTATTTTCGCGATTTGTAATTTGCACTGAAGGCAATAATAGAAACCCCTTTTCTTTTTCAGATGCAAGGACCTGGTGCAGAAGGGCTAGTAAGTATTGAAAATGTCCTTTTCAAATTTTATCCTTAAAATTGTATCCTTGAAATTTCGCAATATTTTTGTTTGTAAAAATTATATGTTAAAGACTTATATAAACTCGATAACAACCTCGAATTTCATTCTTCTAACTTTATCAGCTTAAAATTTACCTATTCGTCCCTGTGTATCAAAAAAAATTGTATGTGCTGGGTATGAGCTACTTCGGTCATTAATGACACTGGAAAGCCTACGAATACAACAGAAACTTGACAATGTGATGAATTTCAAAGAAGATGTGGACAACACAAACAACACCTACACAGCTATATTAAAATCTAGATATAAACAAAACAAAAAGAAAGTAATGTAAACTCGCTGCGCTAAAACCATGTAATTATTGTTGTTTAATGTAAATAATTGTAAAGTGTGAGTTTCAAATTCTGATTTGTATGTTATGATAATTGTTAACCATGTTTATTGTTTATTGTTTATCGTTCAAATAAAGCAGACTCCCTGAGGAAGGCGCGAAATGCGTTGAAACGCGTAGGAGTAAAAAAGGAAAATTTTATTTTCGCTTTAATTCCAACGGCCGAAGTAGCTCATACCCAGCACACAAAATTGTAAAGAGTTTGGCCCTGTCAAAATAAGTTAAAAAAAATTTAATTTTTTTAATTCTAAAGAAATTTCCTCTTTCATTTGGTACCCATATTCTACATTGCATTGAATTTTTTAAATAATTTTTGGAATTAATCATACCTTTGAAATTACAAAGTCCTTTAAAATAAATCCTGACGTCAGAGAGACAAATAAAAACGCCACTTTAAATAAAAAAGTACGTTTCAAACCAATTTATTTATACTTTATTTTATAATAGGAGAGCCTCCCAAACAATATAGAAGCAATTGTTTCGATTTAAGTTGTTGAAAAGTAAATAATATCTAAATCCCGGGACTAATCCCCGGATCCCGGGATTGTGATAACGACATACCGGAGGTCCCGTGATCGGAAAAAGTCGAAAAATTTACATCCCTAATACAAATACAACGATTACGCTGGCTTGGCAATGTTGTACGCATGGCTCGGCATACATTGGTGGACAACGAAAGCATGGGCGCCCACGAACAAAATGGAAGCACCGAGGAGCAGAAGAACCTTTCGCAAAGAAGAGAGGAAATTGGCGAAGTTTTTTTATACCTATTCAAACCGACAAATGGTTGTAGTGTCAAATTAGAAGAAGAGGAATATTAAAATTTGCTCACCTTTAACAGGAATGTTAAAAATACTTGTAAAATTATATTTAAATACAAAATATGAAATACAAATACAAACTTCTTTTACAAAAAGTATTTTAACACAAAATAAATTTATTTTTAACCGACATCCAAAAAAGGAGGAGGTTATCAGTTCGTCGGAATTTTTTTTTTTTTTTTTTTTTTTATGTATGTTACCGCATAACTTTGGACCACGTTAACCGATTTCGATAATTCTTTTTGCATCGGACAGGTAGTGTATCAGAGGTGCGGGAAATTTTGCCCCTTATTCTAATTACCTTCAACGAGCAATTTTTGTGTATATGTATATGTATCCATAAGTTTCTCGGCAACGGCTCTAACGTAGCAAAATGAAAAATCGTTTTTAAAAGACTTTCGGAGTTGTATTTCTTCCAATTGTCAAAAACATTTTATTTGTCACGAGGAAAATACCGTAAAAATTATTTGTATCGTGCGAATATCTATAGAAATTATCAGGGTTTGAAAAACTGTTAGCACAGCGACAACAGCCAAGCATTTTCTTTTTAACCGACTTCCAAAAAATGTTACCGCATAACTTTGGACCACGTCAACCGATTTCGATAATTCTGGTAGTGTAGGTAGTGTATCAGAGGTGGTCCCATACTAATCTGGTTGAGATCCGATCAGTGGATCATGAGATATATATATATATATATTTTTTATATGGGAAAGTATGATTTCAACGAAAACAAGTAATTTTTAGCAAAAAAAAACCGACTTCAACTCTCATAAAAAAAAAA